ATTGCAATATAACATTTACAGACTGAAAAACACTGCTTTCACAATTTTTGCCTCTCAGTGAAAAGAAGACAGGACCAAGGTTAACAACCCAGCTGTTGCGCTTTGTACCAAAGGAAGCCAAGAGAAACAGAGAGGCAAGAGATCTGATGTTTGTGAGTCCAGCTCTCTCCGGACATACTGCTGCTGAGGACTGCATGGAAATAGATCCAGTGAAACTTCAGAGCAAATCCAATAGGAAGGCATTACACTATGTCCACCACCACCAGAAATAAATTTGGCTAGACAAAGAGAATTTCATGTCTCTGTTGCAGCTACAGTTTCTGTTACAGATGCCTCAGTGTTTAGTGTCGGTCATGAAATTTATGATGAGGGCTTAGCTAATATCATACTTATCTGGAGCTGTGTTTCCATCTATGTATTTTTAAGTATCGCATTAGAAAATGTTGATGGAAATTTTTAAAATTCTTTCTGGAGAATTGGCACTACCTACTACTTATCTCATCAACTAACACCTAATAATTGCGTAATGATCGTGAATTTACAAATATTATTTTGCACTCTCTTTTTACTCAAAATTAGATAAAAAATGTCAGTACATTTAGATGGACACGGTACACAGGTGCCATCATTAAAGTGCTTGTTCCACTACAAAAAAACAACTTCAGTAAAATAAGGATTGTACAAATTTTACTGGAGTGTTTCTGCATTTATTTACCCCAAGCATCCATTGTACCAACTGTATAAACATTAGCCGTTGACATCTAGTCACTGTGTCTATCAATCTCAGATTTCAAAACTTCTTTTTGTTATTTGCCTCCAGACCTCTCTGCTTTTTTCTTTTCTCAAACATTTTTGTTCAAGTTGAGACATTTTCCACTCTCATTTTCAAATCTTTGCCCCAATGGTGGATTTGCATCTAGTTGAGTCTCTCCATGTGGAATGTATCTAATCGTGCTGCCTCTAAACTCTCTCACAACACAAGAAGCACTGCTTGGAGATTTAGCAGGTTCTTAAAGTTTCTTTATACCTGCATTGGCTGATTATTTTTAGTTTGTATGACAAGTGGTGCATTTAATATTTTTCTGTTTTTGTTTTTTTTTGCCACTCGGAGGTAGAAAAACTCCAAAACGAGCTGACAGACAGCTTTGACATGTCACCTTTCAAAAGCTGTCTTACGATAACGCGTTAACACACTCTTGAATACTTACACACCCAACAGGCACAGAGTAATATTAGTATTCATTTGCAGTCATGTGTCTGGCCACCTCATGAATATAAGTCCAATATTTACTCTCTGTGTTCTGGTCTTTTCTGACCCTGGAGAGAAATATCTGGTTTAGCTTCTACATGCTCAGCAAAGTTCACAATGTTAGTCGCAAACTCTGTCCGTCTTTGGTGCTGAACATGTATCATCAAGTTTATTGGAGCCTTGAATCCCAGCGTGACTCACGTTTACTACGACTCCCAATGTGCACTGCGGTGTTTGGTGTTTTGTGCCCCCTTCAAGGCAGCGCAGGGTGCATTCAGCTGGTGATGGTTAAGGTTATGGTATCTATCATCAAAAACACCATGGAGCGTGCATTGCGCTGTGACTAAAACATGAGATGTAACAGCGAGCTGAATAAAATACAAAAAAATAAAAAAGCGAGCTGAATCTAATGTTGATGTCTTGAGACAGTAGTTTGATTAATAATCATTATTATTCACATTATTATTAATGAAAAATTATATTAAGGGGAACAAATTCTGTCTCGTGTGTTATCCTGTTCTGTGGGAAACTCTTTAATAGTATCATAAAGGCTTTGTGCCTTGGTTTTTTTTATTATTTTTAGGGTAATTATTATTATTATTATTTTTTTTTTTATTGGCTAGAAACGTCACAGGTATCATTGTAAAATCATCGTTAGGGTAAAAACCTAAAAAATGACAGTAGGGACAGTACTTC